TATATGTATGTATAACTAGTGCTGTAAACGAACCGAATCGAACCGAGCCTAAGATTTTCGATCTCAAGTTCGACTAATATTCGAGCTTGTTCAAGTTCGTTCGTTTACTAATTGAGTCTAAATTTATGTTCGTTTCCATTCGTTTGGTTGTTCGTCAGTTTCATGTTGCTCGTGTAGTTAACCGAAATTATTTTAATTTTTGGAGCGTTGGACTAGCTCAAATGGTTCAAATCAATCGAATTTAAAAACTAAGGGGGTGATTGTTTAGAGCATGTTTGTTTATAAGAATTTTCAAAAAAATTTCAACATTTTAACTCAACCACTTTTTTAACTTAAATTTAACTCAACACTACTATCATTAATTTTATCAATATAATTAAATAATATCATTCAATAATTCATATACACCACATCAACCTTAATTCATTGTTCATCTACTCACATAATTTTAACTAACCATCACATCACATATTCTCTCTCTTACTTTTACTTCAATTTAATTTTAATTATTTTATTTTAAATATTATTTTAATATATCTACTAACAACTAACCATACCATTTTTTCCAAATTAACCAAACCAAACCAAAAAATCCAAACAAATTCAAAAAATTTCATAAACAAACATGCTCTTACCGTTTGTACAGTAATTTTTTTACTCAAATTCAAATTTAACTCAACTTTAACTCAACCACACTATCTCCAATATTATTATATAATTAAATAACATCAACAAATCATTATTACATATCACATCAACTTTAATTCACTATTCATCTACTCACATAATTTTAACTAATTTTAACTAACTATCACTTTCAATCATTTTCTCTTACTTTTACATCAAATCAACTTTAATTATTTTATTTTAAATACTATTTTAATATATCCATTGACAACTAACTATACAACTTTTTCTTAAACTTAACCATAATTAAAAAATTCTAGATTTTTTACTATTCAAAACATAAATAATCACCTAGAGGGATTCTACCAAATCTCCAACCAAATTTGTCTCCTTCTGAACCCATTTCCATATTTCAATTTTTCTTTTTCATTGAAATATATGTTATGCGCTTGTGTTCTCTATTAGAAAGATGAAGTCAATAAATTTACAACTATTTGAGTTCGATATGGACCTAATAAATTTTCATGTTCTCCATGGATGTATAATATATACACGCGATTTTTTTTTTATCTTTTTTTTTTTTTTTAATTTTTGTTTTCAAGGAACAATGTTGTAAACTTTTGTGTCTTGGTATATGTCATCCGGGACATCGATAAAATTGGAACGATACAGAAAAGATTAGAATATCTCCTGGACAAGGATGACACGCATAAATCGAAAAATGGTATCGATAAAATTGGAACGATACAAAAAAAATTAGAATATCTCCTGGACAAGGATGACACGCATAAATCGAGAAATGGTACGGTCAGCAAATTAATTTGCACACACTATATTAACTGAGAAAATTTCTACCTACCATGAAAGCACGTTTATCTATCTACTTCATCTAACTATTTATCTATCCCTTCCACATTTTCTTCCACGCACAAAACACGAGCCCAATCGACTCCAATGGCTGCCGCATCATCTTCCACCTTCACAACGCCGCGGAGCATAAACCCCATTTCAGCAAGAAAATTTTCCTCTCTCTCCTCCTCCAACTCGGTCTTCTTCAGCTATAACATCACTAATCGGGGGCTCGCGGTGGATCGCCACAGGAGAGCTAAGAAAAGGGGTTTCTCCTGCAACTGCCTATTCGGGCTCGGGGTTCCCGAGCTCGTCGTCATCGCGGGCGTCGCCGCGCTCGTTTTCGGGCCGAAGAAGTTGCCTGAGGTGGGCCGTAGTATTGGCAAGACGGTCAAGAGTTTCCAGCAGGTCCTACCTTTTATAATTCTTTTAAGCCAAACATTTTTTTTGGGCCTTTTTTTTCTGAGATTTGAAGATGCCCTTGTGGTTAGATTTGTGTTTCTGTGTGAGGTAGTTGACTTTGAGATCAATTTATCAGTCATGGAAAAGAAGATAACAATGATACCCATGGTTTTGGAAAAGAGATTCTGTGCAATTAGCAGCAGCTATAGTTACTGTTTTGATTATGTTATGGATATTCAAAATTCCGATTTCAATGGGTTTTGTCGATGTTATGTTCTTGTAAAATATGGTCCAGATTTTAATGATTGTAGAACCAAGAAGCAACCGGAAATCGAATACCTCGTGCCTGTTAGAAAATTATTTAGGGAAATGAACTCACTCACCACACCCGTTAGAGCAATTGTGGAGTTGTATTCAGCTGGTGGAATATGGAATTGAGGAGAAACATAAGGGATAAAGAGCGTTTGATATAAAATAGCAGAAATGTACTGTTAGAAGACCCTAAAGTAATGCAGAATAGAACTATCTTAAACTCACTGTACAATCACCGATGAACAGTAGTTAATCTGCAATCTTCTAGATACTTGTTCCTTGTAATTTATTAGTTGTTGAGTGGGTTATTTGGAGTTAAGTGCTACTCACATCTTCTTTTGGGAGCTTCTAATGTATGAATTGACTGTTGGTATTCGGGTGTATACGCTAGTTGTTCGATCAAGTTTCGTGTAGGTTATATGGTTAATGAAGGAGAATATTCAAAGCTAATTTGTTATGTTAATCAGTGGCATTGAGGTTTAAAATGAAGCTTATTAGTGTGACTTGCTCATTCGTTATTGGTATGAAGCATGCTTGGTTTGTATAAATGTTGTAATTTGATTGCTTTAAACACGATTCGAGCTTGCCATTGAAATCCGTGGTGCGATTTAGTTATTTTGATTATGTCAAAAATACAAATGAAAATTGATGGAGTTGCGCTTTGGAAATGCAGGTTTTGAGCTCTGTAAAGTCCTCAAACTGAAATTTTATAGTGTTATGTTTCGTTAGTTTAATTTTATAGGGCAAAAGTTAATCTATTCCCTCCAAAATTTCTCTGTCGGGGGATTTATGTCCTAGGAAAAAACGTGGATTTTTGGAGTACAAATCCATGATAGACAGGCCCTTGAGATTTTATCAAGTAATATGTCATGCTTTAATGCAATTTGTACTCCGAATTTCTGGTCATTTTTTGAACTATTGGCATACAAATGGAAAATCTTGAACATGATAGTGAATTATATAGCCTTTAGGTTGATGATATGAAGGATCGAGATGTGGTCATGCAAACTATTGTTAAGATCGGCAAAAATAAGATCATTGTTAAATCATCTTCTAGTATCTTATTTTTTGAGAGTCCCATATTGTAAAATCCTAAAGAAATGTTGCCATACACTAAGTTTTGAAAGGCAAATTAGAAACTGTCTTTTCGATGATCTGAAGAGCTAGACATGTGATTATTCTTGCTCTAATAATGCTAAGTGGATTACATTATTTGACGAAGTCTCTCATTCAATTCAAACCGTCACTTTATATTGAATAGAATATCCAAATTGCACAATTCTTTTGCATTATTTGGCCTTTTCCATTTATTATTATTCTTTCACCTCTACAGATTAGAGCATATAATGTTGAAGCTAACCTTATATCTAGTTATCTTACCAAGTAACAATTGGATTTAAAATTGTATATAGACTACTTAACACCCTCTTTGAACTAGTATTCTCCATGCCTTTGGTACTTTGCCTACTATTTGAGATCATCTGTGAATTCCTATTATTCTTTCATGAAAATGGTCTTTATAATATTGGTTACAATAACTGTGAAACAAGTGCAGTGGTTACTTGTTATCTTGCAGTGCAAATTTTTACTCATTAATTGCACAAGTTTGCTCGTGATTCGTGAGTACAAATGATTCAGTAAATACTATGCAAGCCTTCTGAATTTGACCCGTTTTATTTATTTTTCGTTTGGAGCTCAAAGTTCGGTTTGAGCTCGAGCTTGACCGAACTCGAGCCGCGCTCGAGCGGCTCGAGCATGTTATCGAGTCGATCTCGAGCGTAGGTTTTGGAAGGCTCGAGATATGTAGTGAATTATTAAAATACCCCTTATATAAATATTACAACATTTTATATATGTACTTAATGTTAATTTTTTCGAACTCGAGCCGAGCTCGAACAACCTTTCGAGCATTTTGATTTCAATCGATCTCGAGCCGAGCTCAAGCTCGAACTGGTAAAAAAAAATAATCCTGCTCGATAAGGCCAATGCTCGGTTCGACTCGATTCGGCTCGGCTGGTTTGCAGCCCTACGTCGACCGATCAATTCTATTGACTCCTTTTCAACTGCAGGCTGCAAAGGAATTCGAGACAGAGCTGAAGAAAGATGGAGAGTCGTCTGAAGAGCTGTCCGGTGAGAGGATTACAACTGCCGGTGAGGAAAAGCAGCAAAAGGTTCAAGTTCCCAGCGTGAAAGAGAGTTCTTAAATTTCCATAAAATGTCTTGTAAGGTCTTTGTATTTTGAAGATTGTAGCTACTTGTTTTTGTATGTGTACCATTTTTCCTTGTTTGTTTTTTTGTCAGAAGATAAAGTGGACACCTTGGGATTAAGGCGCCTTAAAATTTATGAGCTATCCGTACAGATCATCCATATTTTGTATTAAATTTAAAAGTCTTGAATGATACAAATAAATACAAATTAAAAATATTTAAAAGTCATTTCAATTTCAAAGATATTGGCTTCTACTTGTGTTTAAAAATAGGTTTAAGACTAGATCAATTTTTTTTTTTAATTATTATTTTATTTACTGCATCAGTTGGATTAGGGTCATGAATACTCTTAAAAATATTGGAGAATACAGTTCGAATACAGCACGCTCATCGAGAGGCGAACTTTGTGGCGGATTTTCTAGCGAGTTTGGTGGAGTCCTATCCTCTCGGGCTACACTGGCTCTCTTCTCCATCCCTCGGGAGTGGGAGAGTGGCTCACGCATGATAATTGATAATATCAGGGTGTCATACTCTCGATAAGTTCTATCTTAGACTTTGGTCTCCTTAATTGTACTAAAAAAAGTTATTGGAGAATATATATTTTTTTTTTCTATTTTATGGTGTATACTTTCACTTATATTGGATAACATTTTTTTTTCTACGTCTTAAAAAAAATATCAAACAAAACCACATCTTATCTGTAAGGATAAAAAATATCAAACAAAACCACATCTTATCATTAGCTACCTAGCTCTTCGAAGTTCAAAAGGATATAAACTATATAAACTTTAATATTTATTATTTCATCAATAATTTATATTTTAAATCCACGTGGCCATAGATTACTCAGAGTCAGAGTCAAACTTCTAAAAAATTGACAAATGAATCAGATTACAATAATAATTGAGTAGACGTACAAGTAACCTCTTTTCCATGCAAAAAAATACTACGGTGTAATTCACGATTATATCACGTTACAAAACCATTCCGTAACAATTAAATGAATTATCTCTGACAATTACATGATGATTTAACGGTTACAAACGCTAACTGAAGAATTCTGTAACAGACTTTAGTATTTTCCTAATATTAAATTAACTTTACAAACACTCATTTAAGAATACCAACCTGATTTTACTTTCTACCCAAAAACTGCGCAGAGAGAGAGAGAGAGAGCAGAGAGATGGATAGAGTGTTTTCAGTGAATGAGATGCCCGACCCGTTCTGGTCGCCGCACGCGCCTCCGATTCGCCTCCACGACGATGCTAACGTGGAGACGCCGTCGTCTTCCTGCGCCGCCGCAGCCGCCGCCTCTTCCTCGAAGATGAACCGCAGCTCGTCGGAATGGGCGTTCCAGCGGTTCCTGCAGGAGGCCGCCTCGCCCGATCACAACAGCGCGTCCCTGGAAATCGACGACGTCGTCGAGATTAAGGACAGCAATCATCAGTACAATGGAAATGAGCAGCCGCCGCCGCCGCCGAATATTCCGATCGATTTGGAGGAGTACCAGGCGTTTCTCAAGCGCCGCCTGGATTTGGCCTGCGCCGCGGTCGCCTTGACCCGGGTAACTTGTATTCTTTCACTTATTGTATCGCCTATTGATATTTTTATCATTTTAGAGAAAATGGGGGGAGATATTTCGGAATTTCCTGTGAAATTGATTTTTAATGGATGATGCTGAGCTGATAAATTTGTGGGTGTCATCTGTGGACTGTGGTGCCTTTTGGGGTTTGCCCCTATAATGCCTTCTCAGATTTTGGTTTGTTACTCGTCTTCATGAGTCTGTATTTAGCTTGTGCAGTGGCTTATGGCTTGTCTATATACATTACATACGGATATTGTCTTATGAAAGAAAAAAGAAAAGAATTATTACTACTGAAAGTTGTACCCTGATGTACAGGCAACTAAAGGAAAAACTTGTGATTCGGAGTCTGTAACTGCAGCAGTATCAGATATTGGCTCTCAGGCATCAAATTCATCGTACTGTAAAGGTTATTCAATGTTGTTTGGTATTTAGGGAATTGAATGTTTTTCTGCTTCGCTATAAACTTGAATGCACTGTAAAGGTTATTCAATGTTCTTCTCGGTTATGAAGTGCTTGAGCAACAATGTTTTGAGGCATAACATTTACAAAACTAAACTATAAAACTTTAAGCCGCCAATGAATTTCCCTTGTATGATGATTAGCTAATGTGGAGATCAAGTATTAGCTGTGATATGAATGGAAATACTTTTAAGGCAGTTGAACTTGTAGTATATTATCATTTGTATCTATGTTGGATTTGCATTTCCTGTTTAGCAGGGCGTGATTCATTGAAGGCACAAGACAAGGACTCAGCTGCTGTGCCTTCAATTCTTGCAAGTTCCAGGAGATCTGGTGCACAGGTGAAGTCAACATCAAGCGGTTCCTCAGGGGAGCAGTCTGATGATGATGAGGCTGAGGGAGAAAATGAAACTACCCAGAATACGGACCCTTCGGATGCAAAACGCGTGAGAAGGTATTTAACCCAAACTTTATTTCGTGGGCTTCCCTTTTATTCTTTTCCCTATTGGGGTGTTATGGTGAAAGTTGGGAAAGTAACAAGTTTTACTTGTCTGATTGATTATATGGTTGATGCACTTAGTTTCAGTACGCTATCTTTTTCTCTAGTAAACTTTATAATGATTAATGCTGATTTTGTGGCACCTTAAATGGAAAATGGACTGACTGATTTAATAAAGTAGCATCCACAAGATATGAGTCCGTGCAGGAAAAGTTATAATCTTAACTTAGTTAACTCGTTTGTGTGATGTGAGAAGTGAGAACAGGATTATCTCCAACCCCGATGCCAGTAATATATGAAATTTGCATGGGTTAGTGATTGTCTTAGCCATATGCATATATAGTAAGACAACTTCCTCGATTGGCCCACTAAAGAAGTCATTATATCTTCATACAGAAGTCTGGCATAATACCATTTAGTTTCAAACTAAAGGCCTGTTCTCGTCTAAACTTTCTCAGGATGCTTTCAAATAGAGAGTCAGCTCGACGATCAAGAAGACGAAAGCAGGCTCATTTGACGGAGCTTGAGACAAAGGTATGATTTAAACTCCTGTTAATTTGTCTTTCTTTATAACTTTATCTTCCAATAATTAGATCTTGGTTCTTTTTCCTTGTAGGTCTCTCAACTGAAAGGCGAAAACTCTTCCTTGCTCAAGCGCTTCACTGATATAAGCCAGAAGTACAATGAAGCAGCTGTTGACAATAGAGTTCTTAAAGCTGATGTTGAGACCTTGAGAGCCAAGGTAACTTCAGTCCTCCGAAATCTGAAATGATGATGAGTAAGTTTTCATAAGGTACTGTGTGGGTTTAACATAACGGAATCTGCTTTTTGCTGAATGATGTTATGTGGGTCGCCTTTTAGTACCTTAGGATATGAAATTTTTATTCGATGATTCTAACTTTAAAATAGTTGTCGTTCAGTCCACTCCCACAATATTATTCTCAAACAAACTCCTCGATGATCCCTTGGTAAATAACCATTTCCCCCCTCTCATTGTGCTAAAACTCTGCTGTGTGTGGGAAGCATATAAGTTAGCTTATAAGCTTCCATATTCAAATAAGTTTGGTTTGGTAGGACGAGCTTTTTTCAAAAGCTCGAGCTTATCTCAAAGGCTTCCTTGGGTAGCTTTTCAAATAAGCCCATTGAAATTTTTATTTCAGCTAGCTAATTTTGCCACACACTTTTATCATATAAGCTAGCTTTTCATTATAATTTATAAGCTATTAGCTATAAGCTCAAAATTCACTTTAAAAGCTATAAGCTAGCTTATGAGCTAGGTTTTACTAAACATAGGCTATATTTCTTGTACCGAAATAACACTTATTCGCCCCTGAACTCATTACTCAGAGGTGATTTTGACTTTTGCCTTTCGGAAAAATAGGTTGGGCCGTTTGTTGTACAATCGTCAAGTTTCTAGAACATTCCCTTCAAGGTTTTGTACTATTGCAGGTGAAAATGGCTGAAGAAACTGTGAAAAGAGTAACCGGGCTGAACCCATTATTCCAAGCCATGTCGGAAATATCGACCTTGGGCTTGCCACCATTCGCCACCACACATTGTGACACATCACCGGATTCTACTGTACCAATAAGACAAGATAACGATCCCAAGAAACAGAATTACTATTACACGTCCTCCAATTCCACTACAACTAACATTAATAGTAACAATAATAATCACATGACGACGGATCAAAGAATCCAAAACCCTCCGACAGCCGAGAATGTCGTGCAAGAAAAGGGAACAACTGTAGGGATTGGAACAAACAAGATTGTAAGAACTGATTCTATGCAAAGAGTTTCCAGCTTGGAACATCTGCAGAAGTGCATACGTGATGGCGGGCCGACTTCATCACTGAATTAAGGTCTCACATCAGTGAGACGTTTGTTGTCAAGTTATAGGATTTGTGGTCTTTTATGTTTTCAATTGCATTATGAATGAGAAAGACATTCTCACTCTCTCTTCGCCCTCAAATATGGAATTTGTCACTGTTTTCCGGGCACTAGTGTAGTATTTGAATGCGTTGAAGTTTTTAGGCTAGCTTAATGCTGTGTTTGGTAAATATATGAGCTAACTTATAACTTATTTGATTAGCTTATAAGCTTTCTGTATTCAAATAAGTGTTTCGGCGGGACAAATTTTTTTAAAAAACTCGAGCTTATCTCATAAGTTTCATTGGGTAACTTTTCAATAAGCCTATTCAAATTTTTATTTCAGCTAGCTTATCAACTAATTTACCATTCACTTTCATCATATGAACTAGCTTTTAGCCATATGTCATAAATTATCATACATAATTTCGAAATTCACTTAACAACTCAGTGTATAATAGGACTCGTAGTTACCGGTTACTACTTATCTTCACCCCTATCTATTCTGGATACTGCAAATTTTTCTTCTGAATTTTAAGGTCAACAAAAACAATAAAAGTTAGAAATCACGACAAAGCAAAACTTCTAAAGCAAATCAAAAGAAACATTACGGACTAAAAGAGAATCAACGTCTGCCACGCACCCTTTTTTAACCAAACTCGAATGAACTGTCAACCTCCGATCAAAAAGCGTCTCAACCGAACCTCTGGCCATTGGCCCTCTGCCCATTGGCCAAAGGTGTAGCCGCATAACCCATCATCAGACCATTCATCCCAACCGAGCAACGGTCAGGACCTGGGTTCGGGCCGGGCCTATAAGTCAAACCTTCCACTGCCAACGGCAATGGCAGCTGCATCATCTGATACTGTGGTGGGTTCCTCCATCTCGGCAGTGGGCCCGCCACCAGCAGTGTCTGCAGGAGTGGGCCAGCCCGAAGCACCGCATCCAGGAACTTCCCCCTCTGGGGCAGGGCCCGTCCGCCAAGATCAACTGGGTCGGGCCCTGGGCCTGGGCCTGCCAAAACCGGCGGATTGCCATTCAAAACAACAGCACTTATATCCGCATCGTGGACGACAGGGCTCGGGAACTCCTCTATAGGGGAGTAACCGAGACTGTTGGACTCGGTTATGCTGGAGTTTGCCTTGCTGGCGGTGTGGGGCCCGACAAGGAGGGCGCTCCGGAGGTCGTGCAGCTGTTTCTTGGCCTCGTCTCGCTCGTGGAGCGCGTAACGGAGGAGGTGGATGAGCTGGCGAATGTATTCCTTGTTTTTACGCGTCTCGTTTTCGGCCTCTGATTTCAGCTTTTCGAGCTCGAGCGTCGTGTAAAGAAGCTTCTGCTCCAACTGCTCCATTTCCTGATTTTGTTCATAATATGCCATATTACCATCATCAACAACAGGAAAAAATAAATAAATAAAAAAATAGACAAATGAATTAAAATATCTGGAACAAACACAGAGCACAAAGGCCATTTAGGCACGTACTTAAAGAATTTTTGCATAATAATGATCGAAATGATTATCTAACACTGGATACATACAATGGTACCATATTAGTGTTTTAGATAAACTTGATGATTATTCATTCATTCCTCATCTCAGAAATGAAGATAACCCCTCCTCGAAAACTAAAATAAATGTAACATGAAAGAAAGGTTGACGAATACACAATATACGGAAATGCTATGGTCCGTTATGAAACCATTCCGTTGGGGTTTGTAACCGTTAGATCATCATGTAACCGTCAGGGATAATTGACAAACCCCGACGGAATAGTTCCGTAACGGGCCGCAGCATCTCCCCACAATATATATTCTTCTTAATTACGAAGAAATAAGTTAAGCACAAACCTCTTCATAAGTATTCCACATAGCCGCCATCTCACTCATTTTGTCTCTATGAGAAGATGAGAAGAGGTTTTTATGAGCGGGAATTTGAGTGTTTTCTCACTGAGATGAGACGATGTTTTTTTTTTGAGCAGGTTTTTTATGAAGAAATTAGGAAGGTTGTACAAAAATTAAATACAATAATTAACATCTAAAAAAGGACTAAATAAAACCTTCCAACACTAAAATAGTGCTTTAATTGTCAATACCTAAATACTGTTAGATTTCCTTAATTAATATTCTCAGTATGGTTTTTCATTTTACCTTAATATTCACAATTATTACATTATGTTAAAAAGGTATTGTTCTAGTTTAAACCTATACTACATTCCTTTTGAATATTTGTTCAATTTATTTTAATATTTGTTTAACATATACGGATTTTTTTTTTTATTTTTTTTTTTTTTTTTTT